TGGAGTGCGACTCAACAGTGGGTCTATCTAACTGGGATCAACTCCAACTCTTCTCCGGCAGATCATATCCAAACACTAATTATAGTGTTTACTCACTCGACTGAGCGTTGCGGTGTGAAATCAATAAAAACTGATGGAATAGTTTAGTGTCCTCAAACAGCTTAACTCCTCACAGGATCGGTTATGCCCCGTTTATCACTATCACATGTCCAAGGTATACATGAAGAAGGGAACGAACGCCTACAATCCGAGCCTAAAACTATATCGGAAGCGGTAAGAGATAGCTGATCGAGGAGTGCGGGTGGGGAACGCCTCCAGAAAAGATCATAGAATGGTGCACGCGTGAAAGTTATCGATTCGTATGCGTAAAGGAACACTAGAAGCATTCTCAACGCCCCCAACACACACACACACACACACACACACACAGAAATCATTTATAGTAGTACGACTTTTTGTGAATAAAAGCCTCAATTTGAATGCCCGGAGGTGAAACCATTCGGGAAAAGCTCCTACCCTGGTTCAGGTTGTCAAATGAGCGGCTCAGACCGTGTTGAAAACACAGCTACCCTCAGACTGATCGTTTGAGTGGAACGTTCCAGGAGAATGAGAATGGGTGGCAGCACGAAGAATTTGTCACACGTGGGGACATGAAAATGCACCGATGAGATACACACCAAGTCAGTCTGGGATGCATGCGTCGAAGGGGATTATCTCCTGTGAAACCAAATGTAAGTGAATCAATCGAGATGAGAACAAGCGTTTTTCATCAGTCTATCAGTTCGCCCTCTATGCAATCGAATAACCACAGACTACCGCAGGGTTTCCCCGCGTGTGTAGGGTGGTGGTGGCGCAGTGGTTTAGTCGCTATAGCCGGCGTGCTTTGGACCCTATGGTCCGAGGTTCGAGCCCCGCCACCGACACCCGACTTTGGTGGTAGGCAGCTCGGCTGTCGTCCGGTTCAATACCACGCCTAACCTATCGGGGCCTTATGTGGTTCACCACTCCAAGTCCTGGGGCTTAGGTTGCCAATTTCAACCACTGAACAGCAGGTCCTCGTGACTATGGGGTTTACCCCGTCTGCTGTTCATCACACCTAGGTGTGTAATAAAAAAAACTAGTTTGAATCTATTCAACACTTGAACACGTCATTTGACCAGTTGCGCATTGATTTGTGAGTGAAATGAGCATAGCATAAGATTAGTCGGCGTAAACGGATAACACTTACTTCATTTGTTTGACGATAGTGCTTTTCCCGGACTCTCCGGCGCCTAGAATGATAAAAGGCAAGCAACAAAAAGAAATTAATGTAAATAATTATCGATTGACATTTTCATGTTTATTCATAGATAGCTATTTTTAGTTGCTGAATCATTATGAGAGTAAGTATAATCGAAAAATTCATTTTGTGCTGTGTTCTCACAAATGCTCGAAAGCATGTTGTGTGCATTACACTAGTAGAAATTATTGATATAAAACTCGTATCGCATTACCGAGTCATTTCTGGACTGAATGTCGTGATCGACGAAAATAGAAAAGTGACTTTCGGACAGGTGCGGATCATTCTACCGTTACTTTAGAAAAAAGGTATCACCAAAAGCAAATCTCTTCACTCGTTCGCGTTTCATTCCGCAGCTGTTCATGTTACGCAACAAGGTGAATAATATACACATTAGATTCCCTACAAACTGCATCAAGATGAAAGCACAACAACCACAACAACAACAACAACAACAACATAATAATAATAATAATAATAATAATAATAATAATATAATAATAATAATTATTATTATAACAGTGGCAGGAAAAAGAACAACAATAACAACAGGTCGTTTATCACGCCATATAACATTTTCTATGAATCCCTGAACCGAGCTCGAAATATTT